GAACTCATCCCAATTTGCGAAGTCACGACCGATGAACCAATTTCGTGCCGCACCGCCGACGTAGGACCTGACAAATTGCATCCGAAGGGCATATGGCCAACAGTTCAGATCCGCCATGCCTTCTACTGTCTTGAGCCAGTCGTCCGCCTCGTAGGCTGACTCACACCCATCGAAGGTTTTAATCGCCTTATTCATATCCGGAAGTACTCTGTAATCGTACGTGTCCGATCGCGATGCATGGTTGACAACAGCTCCAGCCGACGCGTTTTGGTCAGCAACGCGCCCCGCTGTGGACTCCTTTTGCAGTTGTTCCACCTTTTCCTGGAGGTCGCTCACTAGTTTATATAATTCATTATAAGTCGGTGCTACCGGTGTTGTGGGATTCATTTTACTTAATTCGTAACGGATTCGTCGACGTAACACAACAATATAATAGTAAACACTGTTATCACTATCAGTGACAACAACCAATCGTTATCACAGCCGCACCCGCGGTGAGCGTCGTCTTCCGAGTGACGGTTACTCTTTTCAGTGCTACCAACCTCGTCCCACACGACAATCGTCCCACTAGCCTCTCCACTCGTTACCCAAAAACCACGTTGTTTCTCCGGAACGTAATTGAGTATGAATTTGAACTCGGATACCACTTTTTACAGCCCAAGGCCGACGCGTTGCTCTTTTCTCGCACTATTTAAATGTTGCTGGTGAGTAAGCGCGACTTGAGGTTCCGTTTTTCCGTGACGTCTGCTCTTTCCTTCGGCCGTACACAGCTCCGCTCGTAGTCTACTTTGTGGTGGAGTAAATATTCTCAAGATATTGCTATCCCACTTCTGACTTACTGTTAACTACTCTTAGCAGCTAACAGTGGAATAATTAATAAACACTTTTAATTATAAAGACTTTTAAACACACTTTATTTGTAATAATAATAATAATTACCGGTCTGGCCTCAGGACAACCCGATCGAGAACGCTCTCTGATGCGGGTCTCCAACCAACTTCCATACCGTACACTTATCTCTTACATATACATAAATCTGGGAGAGGTGGGAGGAAAAGACCCAACCATACCGAGCACCTCTTATGGAGTATTTAACAATTGTTTCATAACTGACTATTGTATCAAGTTAAGTATGATACATTTTTTTGTTATAATAAAACTATGCCTATAAATTTTAGGCAAAAACAGATTACCCAGAAATTATAAAACATTGCTTTTCTGCTGATTCAAGTTGCCCTTCATCATTCGTTAAGGTACCTAATTAGTAATGATGTTGAAAAACAAACATATTACACATATTTTTTATGATATTTATATTATTTTTTTTTAATAATATTAGGTATTGGCTAGTGATATTTCATTAGAAGGTATAGAAAAACTAAACGACACCTTTGATACTTGTACTTCTGCATCTCTGAAATCTTATTCACCTTCAGTTGAAGTAAATACCTAGTTTGAAAACAAAATGCTTAAAGTTCTGATATTATTTATGTATAACTATTTATATATTTTTTTAAGTCATTAACAAGCTATGTCAAGTATGACAAGGTAGAAACTCAAAGTCCTATGCCAACTCCTTTAACATCTGATGAATTTAATGTAAACCGTCCAGCAGTTAAGGTATCAATTAATAATTCTATTTTTGTTGTAATATATAGATTAGCCATTAGGTAGGTATCTAAGTAAAAAAAGTATTTATTTTTTTTTTAGAAAAAGTACAAAGCAAACTTTCAGGCATCAAGTGTTCTAGCTGATTCTGATACACCAAACCGAATTTCCTAAAAAGTGGTATCCAACAATTATCACATGAACTTGCTGTTAAAAATAAGAAATTGAAAATTCTTCAACAAAGGGTCAGACGGCAGGAAAAAAGAATTGTATCTATGTCTGCCATTATTGATAAACTGAAAGACCAACATTTAATAAATGATGATGCTTCTGAGATGTTACTGGATAATTTTGGTAAGCATAAGCATCTTATAACAAATTGGGCAAAAAAAAATTTGGGACAGAAAGTACCTAAAAAGTATAGTCCAGAGGTTCGCCAATTTGCTCTCTCGCTACACTTCTTTTCAGCTAAGGCTTATGTATATGTAAGAAAACAGTTCAATACTATATTACCACACCCTAGAACTTTAAGTAAGTGGTACTCCCATGTTAATGCCGATCCAGGGTTTACCAAAGAAGCATTGAAATCACTAACCTTAAAAGTTAAACATTCAACAAGCCCTATTTATTGTTCACTTATGATGGATGAAATGGCTATTCGACAAAATATTGAATTTGACAGTTCTGATGGAAAATATTATGGCCGTATTGATCTGGGAAATGGATTAGATGGTGACAACTTGGAAATGGCTAAGGAAGCATTTGTATTTTTAGTTTTTGCTATTAATGAATGTTGGAAATTACCTATTGCTTATTTCTTAACGGCTAGCTTGAATGGTTCACAAAAATCTGAACTTATTACTCATGCACTATCTCTACTACACGAAACCGGAGTAAAGATAGTGAGTTTGACATTTGATGGCTGCTCTACTAATGTAACTGCAACTAAGCTTTTAGGATGTAATTTAAATGTAGACAACTTAGTAACTACATTTATGTATAGTAATAAGGATGTTAATATGCCCATAGAAATTATATTAGATGCTGCACATATGCTTAAGTTAGTTAGGAACGCTTTTGGAGAAAAAAAACAGTTTTTAGATTTTGAAAACAAAATAGTTGATTTTGATTATATAGAGAATCTTTTTATTTTGCAAGAAAAAGAAGGTTGTCATTTAGGAAATAAAATAAGAAAACAGTATATATTTTTCTTCAAACAAAAAATGAAGGTTAAATTAGCAGCTCAGCTTTTAAGCCAATCTGTTGCTGATGCACTTACATTTTGTAAAAGTAATCTTAAATTAAAATCATTTTTAAATTCTGATGCTACAATAAGATTTATAGAAATATTTAACACAGCATTTGATATTTGTAATTCTAGATCTGCTAATGCGATAGGAAATAAAAAGGCTCTTAGTAAAGACAATTTTAATTATGTTAAAGATTTTACTAAAAAATTTATGAATTATGTAAAAGACTTAAAAGTAAAAGACAATGTAAACAATAATACATTTATTCCTGTTCTAGAGTCGAAGAGAAAGACAGGTTTTATAGGTTTTGTCATAACTTTGAATTCTATATTAAATTTGTATAATCGGTACATAGATAATTTGCAGTACATTCGGACATATAGACTAAGTCAGGACCACATTGAGATATTTTTTGGAACTATTCGGTCTCATGGGGGGCATAATAATAACCCCACTGCAAAACAGTTCCGTGCAGCATACCGAAAAATAGTTATTAGGACCAATGATGTACAGAGTTTCAATACAGGTAACTGCATACCTCTTGAACATATTGATATTCTACATTATAGTAGTTCTGATCCTATTAAAGTAATTAATTATAGTACTGGGTATGATAATAATATTGACGAGGATAATATCACAGATGTTGATTCTTTTATACATGATCACAGTTATATTGTTGGACAGAACACTTTTGAATTCAGTGAATTTTCTAAAGAAGTTATTATTTATATTTCTGGTTTTGTGGTACATAAATTAAGCTCTGTTATTAAATGTGAAATTTGTGTATCATCACTATTTTCCTACAATAAAGAAGACTTTGTGAATTCATTTATTGCATTAAAAAACCGTGGAGGTAATAAAGGGGGTCTTACTTATCCAAGTGATGATGTAATCGTAATATGCTTGCAAACAGAAAAAATGTTAAAATCATATAATTACCAAAATAAAGGAATCAATAAATTATTCATTCAAACAAAAGTTCTTTCTCATTTTATGAATAATAATTCAATTTTCAGTTCTTTAAATAACCATAGCACAGACAGCAATAGTTCATTATCTGACCACCTAACACATTTAATTAAATCAATATCATCAACATACATGAGCTTGAAAATAAAATATTCTCTTAGATCCCATAATGAAACACCCTCCCTTCGTATGTGGTATAATAAATTAACATTATTTAAAGGGCAGTAATAAATAACAAGATGACNCTATAATAACTTATTAAATTTGCTTAACTATATAAACATAAACAAGTTAATTAGGTACCTAATCAAAATAAAAATAAAAATAATCATAATTTTTTTTAGAACATCATAATACAAGACAGTTAAAACAGAAAATACTGCTCATCATAAAACCAATACGTTCTTTATAATATTATAACAGTATAGTATAACTTATAAGGACGATTCTTCTATCATGAACCAGTTATTATAATTTTTTTTTTTTATATTTTAATTTCATTGATTGTTTTTTTAATATTATATACATATAATATTATTATTTATATTATTATTATTATATTATATTATAATTTTTTATTATGTATATTAATATATTACTATTTGCTTACCTATATAAATATTAAAATATGTTTAATTGATTATTATTTATGTTATGCATTTTGTATAGTATGTTCCTAAAATATTATGTATATAATATAATATTCAATATTCATGGCAATAAATTAATTGTGAAAATATGTAATTTATATTTATATTTATTTTAATAGAAATACCAAATTAAATAAATTATTGAACTACCTATTGACTACTATATAGAGATTATTGTTCATAATTAGGTAGAAGTGAAATGTGAATACAGTAATTTTTTTTCCTAAAAGTGGCTAGCCTGCCCAGAGTCCACTTGCGCTTCACGATAAAAATGAACGGCCTCTCTATATTACTCTATGGGGCGGCGTCAGTCGGCTGCGCGAAACAAGTATACTCTCTCGTGGAACAGAGTATACTAATAATAATATATTACTATTGTTAACCAACTACTAAAATATTTAATGACACACCTCACACACAATTGTCAATTGACAAACGTACAGTTACAGTTCATAAGACAATTGGGAACAAGGAAATAATAAATAATAAAAGTTACACAAAAGTATGTATATAGCAACATTTATTCATTCTGAAAATTTTTTAAAAAAATACAATGTTAAATAAATTTAAAAAATCGTCCAATTGAAACTTACCATTCGACACTTGCCACCGCCCAACAGCCGACCCGAAAACACTGAAAATTATGTATATAATTAAATTATTTTAATATTTTCAGTTATATAATATTGACTATTCTTACGTTGGACTCACTGTCGGCTTCGGGGTTGAGGCCGCGGCCGGCGACCCCTCCGCCCCCCCTATCAATGGTTGGACAAAACTACTGAAAACAATACATTTTATGTTTTTGATGATTGACATATTTTGGTATTTGCGATCTTACCTTCAACTACGGCCCCGCCGCCTCGACCCACGCTGAGGTTGCTGCTAGTGATGGGAATAATCGAATGAAATAATCGAATCATTCGATTATTTGTAAAATCGATTTAATTCGATTATTTTAAAATCATTCGATTAATCGAAACCATTCGAATCAATTCGATTATTCGATTTAATTACCTAATCATAAACATTCGAATGATAGAATAATCGAATGAACATAAATTAGTTATTTAAAAATCATCTTTACTGATTCTTTAGTATTTAATATTTATTGACAATAAAATATAAATAAGTAAAAACTAATTATTTACTACAATTAAATGAAAGTTCTGATAACAAATTTAATTTATAATTAAAATTCAATATTTATGTTCCTGTTTAAAAAAATAATAAAATCCAAGTTTTTTGGGTGAAGTCTATTCCTGCGGTCGTTGGTAATCTGCCCTGCTTTAGAAAACACGCGTTCCGATGGAACCGATGTTGCGGGAACACTCAAATATTTCATTTGTAACATGTACAATTCTGGAAAAGTATTTTTGTTTTTTTTCCAAAAATCCAGTGGACTTTGCTTGCGATTTAAATATGGCATTTCTAAATACTGACGTATTATAAGTGAAGCTGTAATTCCTGTTGATAAAGTGCTTCTGATCTGGGACACTTTCGTGTCAAATTGTTTCCATAATACATTGGATTCGACGTTGATACTGTTGATAGGTACACTACATGTATCTTCCTGGTGTTTATTATTTAATACATCAGATAGTTCTTCCATAAGCAATTTTTCGGTATTATTTGCATTTTCAATTAATCCAAAACCTGCTTTTTTAAACCTAGGGTCTAAAAAGGTTGATTTAGCAACTATTTTATCACGTTCTAGTATACCTAATCGTCTAACGATGACTTCAATTACAATTTTTTGAAGTGCATTTTCAGCAGTTGTATTAGTTATTATACTTTTTAATGTATGTTGAAGGCCCCTTACTAATGGAATGACTGAAGAAAGTGTTGGATATATTTCACCAGATAACTCAACTGTCATGACGTCAAATGGTTTTAATATAGGTAGACAATCAGTTATTAATTCCCAATCTAGTGCAGTTAAAAGGTCTGGTGCACGGGGAAGAAATGTCATAGCTGCCGACAAAGGTGCTTTAATTTGTACAAGTCTATCTAACATATGAACGCTCGAATTCCACCTTGTACTCACATCTTGTATTACTTTTAATACAGGAAGTCCCATTTGTGTTTGCAGTTCTTTTAGTTTTTCAGACGCAAAGACACTATGTTTAAAATGTCCTACCAATGTGCGGCATTTTTTTAAAACATCCAGGAAATCTTTATTAGACAAAATTGCTTCGTTAATACTTAAATTGAGTGTGTGTGCGACACATGGATGGTGGTGTTTACTAAGGTGTACATTTATAGCGTTTTTTATATTAGATCCGTTGTCCGAGACTATAGTCACTATTTTATCTTTAATGCCCCATTCATTTAAAATATCTGAAAGCAAATTAGCTATGTTGACGCCAGTATGAGATTCATGCATTTCTCTAGTTGCCAAGACAGGTGAATATAGACGATCATCAAATATAAAATGACAAGTAACTGTTAAATAAGCTATATTATTGTCAGAAGTCCATATATCAGTTGTAATTGACAAACTAGCTACATTTACCAACATTTTTTTTAATATTGTAACAATCTTATTGTATTCATTTAGCAATAATTTTGTAGTTAATGTTTTCCTACTGGGAACTTTATATAAAGGTTGCAATTTTTTAGAATATTCTAAAAACCCACTGTTCTCAACTAACGATAGAGGTTGGTAGTCAGTAACAATCATCTTAATTAAACTTTCGTCTATTGAATTTTTTACTTCATCTGTTAAATTGTTACCTTCAGTCGAACCATATAATTTTAATTGGCGACAACGTTTAGGTGCAGAAGGAAAGCAGGGTTCAGTTTGTTGTATATTGTTGGAATTATTAGAAAAAGTAGATGGTCCGGCTGATAGATTCAAATCTAATTCTTCTTCATTATTTAAAACAGGTGTAATGTGCGCTGGATGAATTCTTTTTAAATGCTCTTTGGATAAAAAAAAAAATGAAAGGAAATTAATAAAATTATAAAAATATTCACGAAGCTTCAGCTATAAAAGTTGCACATTTTGTACATTTTTTACTATATAATAGTTGGCAAATGTAATTTTTGACGAACTTTGTAAAAATTAAAAATTTGTTATTTCAATTATGACCTCCCAAAACTACCTTAATATCTGAAGCTGAATTATGTGTATAATAAAAAATGATAACTTATAAATAATAAAACTGATAACTTTAAAAAAAAATGTTTAAATAGTACCTTTCAAATTAGTTGTATTTCCGTGGTATTTAAATTCTCTTTTACATATTTGGCAAATCACACACTTGTCAGAAGTTTTCTTAAAATGTTCCCACACTATAGACCTTTGACTAGGTGCCATTAGGTATAAGCTTAATATAAGTTATAATAATTAAATGAAAAACAATAAAAGTTTAAAAAGTGGATCAAAATAAAATTAAAATTGTCATAAAATATAAATTCAATACTACAAACGTGTAGCTCAATGCATATCAAATTCACGATTGAATAACAAATATTAAATAATACAACAGACCATACTAAGAATACAGCAATCCCTCGTTATCCGCGGATTTTTAATCCGCGGTTTCGATTATCCGCGGTTGGGTCGGCAATACAATTTTATTAATACGATAAAATTTTATCGTTATTATATCCATACTTATAACAGATAAGCTACATAAAGTACCTTAATATGTACAGTTAATTTGTTATATCTTTAAATTAGGAATTACCGTGTATTACTATTTACTATCATGTAAGACATCAATAACATAATACTAGGAAGCTATAAACTTATAGTCTATAGATTATCATTCGATTATTTATATAAGCGACAAGCGTTATAACCGGTTCTAGCAATGTAAATTGTAATAGTTAATAATAATTCATTCGAATGAAATCGTTGGGTTATTACTTATTAGTTTATTAATCATTTGATTATTCGATTTTTTTTCGACTACTAATCATTCGATTATTACAATCATTCGATTATTCCCATCACTAGTTGCTGCTGCTGTTGTTGTTGTTGTTTCTGCTGCTGTGGCCGCTGCGAGGACGCGCCCGACGGTGTCCCAGGTACCACGCAGGGGGAGTCCGATAAATAAAATTTACAAAAAGCTTATAGCACATGACAAAATAAATAATAGGATAAACTTACCACAATTTCTAGCGATGTGCCCCAACTGCCGGCACCTGTAACATCCTGAAACGTACAAATCATGTTTAGTGTTATACTTGGCTTATGCAATACGCATGTGCTTTTTTTATTAGATACTTACGTCGGGCGTTTTTGCCCTCACGGCGCACGGGCACAGCCGCTGCACCGTGATACACGGGTGCATTATACACCCGCATACCACGGCCGTTATACTGCTATTTGTGACCAATCTGGGTCTCTTTCGGTATGCTAGATTTCAAAAAAAAAAAAAATTGTTTTATTCAAATACGTATGAAGTAACCCAAGAAATATTATTTTCATACTATAATCGACGTGTACTCACTTGACAAATTTTTGATAAATGTTTGAAAAATACCAAACAACGTGCAGCTGGCTATGCATTATATGTCCCTTGACGCGGTAATAATAGCAGCCAATCAGAAAATTTGATTCTGTCGACTTATTTGTTATAACCGCGAAAACATAGCATTGATTACATTGATTACAATGAAGCATAACACCTGATAACTGTTCTCCATAATTATCGAAAAATACACTTTTGTTATCTCCTGTATGCTTTTCAGATTTCAACAGCCGTTTCGAGCACTTTTCGCTGTAGGCGGATTGTCCGTTCGGGAATCGACTTTCACCCGAGATGATTGATAGCTAGACACTCAAACTCGGAATCCGAATTTCCGACTTACGACTAGACACTCTTCCAATTTCAAAAATTACCGCTTAACCAGTGCTGCCAACACGACGGGAGGCCGTAATTGTACGGAAAATAATTGACCGGAATGATAAAAAAAACGGAAAGTAAAATTACGGAACGTAATACTGCGGAACGTAAAATAACGGAATTTAGTGGTTCAAACCATAATTTTGCGGAATGTAAAATTACGGAACCACAAATTTGCGGAAAATAATAATTTGGAACGTATACTTACGGAACCAGAAAAATGCGGAATGTAATATCACGGGTAGTAATACCCTGGAATGTATTATCCAGGAACGTAAAATCGCGGACCGTAATTTTGCGGAAAGTAAAATCGCGGAATTTAAAATACCATAAACCAATGATTCCCAACATAGATAAGTATATCTAATTACAGAATAGTCGAATCAACTTAGGGTTTTTTTTAAAATCTTCTACTGTAGAAGTTCTATAAATTAATCATTGGCAAAATTAATGATAGTTGGGAATATATTATTATAATTGTATCTTAAATGGAAGGCATAAAGGGCCCCTGCTCCTCTCCTAGTATATTATCTAAGCTCCAAACATGACTTTTTAATAAATTGAAGATAAATGTTTGAGGTTAGGTTAATTTAGTACCAATAGTACCTAAATATTTAGTCATTTTAGTTTAAGAACTGTATTTGCTGAAATTTAACACATTATAAAAAATAAAGTATTAGCCACGGTTTAAGATATATATGTATATGTATATATATATGTATGTATGTTAAAATATATATGTATATCTTAAACCGTGGTATTAGCGATAGTATTGGCGATTGAAAGCTTATCATTTTTTAGGCCGGCGCGGCGGGGGTAGATCTGTAACGGGGAACTGATAAAAGATACACATCGTCCCCATTACAGCTTATCACTTTCAATCGCCAATATAAACATAAATAATTAAACGCTGTGGCTATATCCCCGACAGTCGGGTCTTTATTAAAGTCCCGACAACTATGATAACAAATACGCATGCTCGGATAATATACATGATAACAATACAACAATGATAATACGATAATTATTATTCATTAATAATGCGATAATTAACTGATTTTACAATTTAAACATAAAATTGAACATAAAACATATTTTATTTTATTTACCTAGGTCATCAGTGGATGGTTCTATTTTTGTCTTAATATCTTCTTTTTCTTCATCTTGGATTTTATGCCACATAAGCTATTTATATTTTTTAGATTCTGAGTAAAGCGAGGAATGCAATGGTTTTACAATGATGTTTATTTTTTTTTTAAATATCAAATGTATCGCTTTTTCTAAAAGGGAATTCTCTTGGGATAGTACTTAGTAGACAAGGGAAAAGCTTTCATTTTAATTTTGGAAGTTTTTTTTTCTTGTAATTTGTTGTAAACCGAATGTACCACTGCACTTTGCTCTGTTTATCGTCTGTTAATCTCTGTTAATCATTGTTAACAAGTATAAAACAAATCTCCATGTCACATATATCCCCAGTATCAACTGTCTGGTTATTTGGCCATAACATATCCATCACCATTTCCCTCTTAACCGTTGTCGTGGTTTACATAGAATTTCCTTGTAACATAATATGGAGGCGCCCGGTGCCGATGCCATTTCATCCTCAAAAATATACTCTGCGGT